ATGGGTTTCTTTTGTGGTATTACAACACGCAGGCTGTTCAAGAATACAGCAACCGTCGTCCAGCTACAAGTTCCAGCTCACCCTCGGGAGGAGATGCGGTGCTCATTACGAAAGACGATCTAGAAGGATATCATGGTACGTGCATCGACGGTGTGGGTAGACAACTTGCAGTTGTCCCTAGGATGGGTAAGTCAAAGCCAATGATAGCAAGGTTGTCCTGCCTCTTTTCCTCTTTGATAGTTCACGGCAGTAGTGGATCTCTCATTAAGCGTCTGCCCGTGTCGGAGGCTCGTGCTTGTTGATGACCAACTTACATCACAGCACACCACCCGCTCGCTCTTGTTTAGAAGCGTCATGGAAGTAAGAAACAGAATCAAACAAACGTTGTTCGTCAAAGCACATAGAACACACGAAACTACAATTAGGTTGTACATAACTGGTACGTCGAAATTTCCCTCCCCTTGAATTATCTTATGAAGAAAACCATGTGGTTTTCGCTGATGGAAAATATTAAGCTTGTTGGGTATGGAGTCGAAAGTGGTATCGACCGTACTTGGGTTGTATACCGATGTCCTTTGGTTCGATGGAGTCGAAAATTTAAGCCACAATCCATGTCAAGGAGAAAGCAAGTTGTTTCAATTGGGTTATAACTTTGTGAATGAATGGTAACGCGTCTCTATCCAAAATTACTCCTCTAGATATCATTATTGTACTGGATAGTTGCATTTAAAGGTGATGAAGTTGGTCGATTGGGTTACTGTTAATTATTTTCCTAGAATTTACTTCAATCATATGTTTTAGTTAAGTTGACTTGTTTGGTATAAATTAAACTCGTTTATAGGTTTAATGAACCTTGAATGAACTAAAAACTATTAGAACTGAACCTAAACTTGAGATAAAGCTAGCCTAATCAAAGAAAATGCTAAGTAGAAATGGAGTCGAAGCTAAACCAGCCCGTATTAGGTTTTAATGAAGTGTAAACAAAATCATTATGGCCAAAATGAACAATCATGTGTGTCATAACAATTGAACCATAATGCGGTAAGTCGGAAATACAATATCTTAAACTGATCAGTGAAATCGCATGTCCAATTGGAGACAGTGGGCACATCTTCTTCAACGAGATTTGGTGGTGTTTGCGACAAACTGAAATGGTATGACTTCTATGAGGGAAAACAATAGCAAATTCGAGACAAGATGCAACGACAATGACCTAAAGACAATATACGCAACATACAGTGGTATAATGAAAAAAGGGATCAAACGATCAATAGGAAACCTAAGACCAACGAGTCCAAGGGAGATGAAGAATAAAGACTTATTAGTAGAACGGTTTCCGTGTTACTATCTTGCCTCATGAACATCTCTATTTGACACGCAAAGGAAATCAATGGTGGAACAGTTGAAACTTGTGGGAAGTGCGATGTGATTTGCAAAGGAGAGACAAATGTGATGTGATTTTCAGGAATCAAAGCTATTCAAAAAGTCTCTAACTTCTATTGATGTCACTACCGAGACATCAACAGATGTTATCTCTTGATGTCTACGAGGGAGGTTTCTGTCGATAATAGGTTTTGTATTGACATTAGCCTATTTTGTCATGAACGAAACGTAGACCAACCAGTCCTCGTTGACACTTTTGCCGATGATTGTTTTTCATTTAAAAAAAAAAAAAAAAAAAAAAAAAAAAACCTTTCTCAACTCCTTTTTTTTTAATTATTTTTTTATTTTTTATTTTTTACATTTCTCGATGTCCTTTGACATCGAAAAAGAATCCAAATTATACCATACCTTAATTATGAGCTTCCAAAAAATTACCGAGAATGGTTTTAGATTAAATATAAGCATTTTGTTATGATATCGTCAAACATACCTCAACTTCCTTAAACAACCATGAGAAACGAGATTCAAGATAGAAACGAGGATTACTTACATCCTACTCAATTTAGACTTAAAGATAAAGATCGTCTGCGTCCCATTTTTGAAACTCGATCTACCTGTTCTACCTCTCCATTATACTTAGGGCCTAAGTAAAGTACTTTACAAGATGTATTGTCTATATATATATATATTTAACATCTCTCATATCTTATAAGAAATTTAAAAAAAAAAAAAAAAA